CTCACAGCTGTGTAAACATTAAACTTCCCACGACGCTAGGTTTGCACTGCTTTCTGAGTTCCTTTTCCCCCTCTCCCCTTATCAGCTGGGTGTACGCCCCAGACTGTCGAGTATTATCTGTTCTTTTCCAGACTTTGATGTTGTGGGCCTGACGAAGGCTTGGGGTCTATACCCACAATGGACAATCTGGCTCCGGCAATGGTTGTTGGGCGCGGCCGCTTCCACCGCTTTGACTACATGCGTCCGCATTCCGGACCAGGCTGAGGATCACACCCCCTGCCTCACCAAAAGGTGTTTTAAGGTTAGGTGTCTGGCATGTAGTCAGTCCCACATCAAAGCGACCAACGCCTAAATAACATAAATAATATAAATCAGACAATTCTTTAACGGTGAAGCCCATTGTTCGTTGTACACAGAAGACAATTTATCTGTATCCATCTCTTAAACAGTTTATTCATAACCACTTGCCGACAATTTGTATCACTGTGTTCCTTCATAATCTGCGTTCATCGTCCGAAAATGTATATATTGCAAATTGACTAGCTCCATTCTGTCCTTGGAACTCATTTCCGCGCATTCATTCACCTCCAGTTTTGCATTTCCCAAGTGTCCTTTGCATTACAATCGCTTATATTTGTGCTCTCTATAACAGATTATCCTCAGCACTCCATTACATAACCTTGTCCGTTTTCTGTCTCCTTCATCCCAGAGCATCTTCACGAAATCTCCTGATCCATGAAACAAAACAATTTTTTATGTCCACAATCTCTTTGTACTTCCACTTTTGGCTTTCCGCCGCCTTCTTTGTACCATTGTTGTAAATTTGATCGTGCGCACTCGCATGCTTCACGGGCTTCGTGAAATATACCATTATTATTATTATTATTATTATTCAACTCATGAGGGCTGTAGCTTCATGAGAGGCAAAAGCGATTGTGTCTTTATACAAGGCCCTTCTGAGGCCACATCTACAGAACTGCGCTCAGCCCTCGGCGCCTTGTAGTGGAAAGGATACTAAATATACGAATAATAATGAAACAAACGGTACATGGAACGGACTCACAGAAGGATTGTCTGGCTGGATGATTGGTCCTGTTCTTCGGATGTGTGGCTCCGGTTGATAGTGTGCAGTATTTCTGAAATGGATGGCTGCGACAGTTAATGGATCGCTTGACGATAACTGATAATGTACGAGTAATGCTTCAGCAACACTCGGAGAACACGTGCGCCATTACGAACAGAATTTTTATTGTGTTATTACTTGTCGTGTATATTAAAATAAGCATTACAATCATGTCATATAAATGTGGAGAGAAAAGTAAGACACTACAGCCTTACTTGGTGAAAGACGTCAAGGTCCTGGAGGCGGTTCTAAGAAGGTTCACGAAGGCCATAGACAGCGTGGGGGTCTTGAATAAAGCAAGAGACTCAAGAGGTTAAACCTCAAGAGAAGGAGAATGCTAAGAGACCTCCTAGAGGATCCAAGCAGCTGAACGGTGCCTCTGTAACAGAAACACCGCTGCTGAACCTATACCACAGTACTAAATCCAGGTGCAGCGGGTGTAAACTGGAAAAGCCCGGAGAACGAGGAGTATTCGAGCACGGTTCGTTTCACATTGGGTGATCAATGCGGAGAAACAATCACCACAGCAAGTGGTTGCGGCTCGTAACCTTGGGGGTTTTAAGCGCCACCTGGACGAGGCATGGTCAAGTATATTTCCCGACGATGAATAGGATTACTGATATGGAAACAATGTCCTTGAAATCTCCTGTAGGGCGCCCTTGGTTCTAATATAATATGTCGTGGCGTCGCGAAGCGATACCACCGAGAGTTTAGGGCAGCGTGTTCTGCACGTGGGAACCGAAACTTGTGTCCTCACTTTGATGCCCTGATGAAACTTTGAGTTGAACGGGTCAAGGATAGTGCGAAGGGTGCCTACCATTGACTTCAGGTGTTCCATGCTGTCTATCTTCGAATGACCTCCCATTTCTGATACACACTTGAAAAGGAAGGCTGTCCGGGACAAAGACATTTGGGCCTCTAGGGTAATGATGATGTCCACGAATTCGTACGTCTAGCAAAGGACGAAGTAACGAACCAAAACAGAGCGACTGGTATCACGAAACCTCAACGACGGTTGTATTGAAATGAGCTTGAGATCAGAGAGAGAAGCGTACAGGTAAGTAGGCGTGCAGAAAGTGAAAGTCAACGTACCGTGACCAACGAGGTAACCTTGATTCGGTAAAACGACAAGGTCCGGAAGATGGAAAAGCTAGATGAGCGGAAAGGGTTGACACTGTCACTACAGAGCTCCCCTTCCCCCTAGAAGGCTAAGAAGAGCCTTCGATAAGTGCGCGTGTGGGTGCAGTCTTTTTGTCTTCTGAAAATCAATTACGTGAGGCAGTTGTCTAGTATTCCGGATGATGTGAGGATATTTGGAGCAAATAGATATCTACAGTCCGTCGAGGTTTCGCTACTTGCCCCGCTTTTTAAACGAAAACGGATTTTGGAAATGGGTTCGTCACAGCTGGGTACTGTCTTCGATACCCGGAAGATGCTGGATCGGACGTCTAATTGGAGGTGGGGGGCAAATTTACGTTCTCTTGTTGTATATGTTTTTCCATGTGATCGGTGTAAGTCAACCAAGTCGCACTTGAGTCACGCGCAGCCGAAACCGATACGAATCCCGAAATAAAACACGACTGATCCGTAATGTTGTACGGTACTCAAATATGCGGCTGAAAGCACTCAAGCAAGCAAGCCAAATATGATGTCCAGAGAGAGGCAAACAGTCACTCACGTTCTCTGGTCACGCAAAATTCGAATGTGACGGGCATCGAATTAACAGATAAATAATGATGTATGGTGTTCGTGATCGAGAAATGTCAATATAGGAGCAACACACAGATACAGTAGGCGTGCAGAAAGTGAAAGTCAACGTACCGTGACCAACGAGGTAATCTTGATTCGGTAAAACAACAAGGTCCGGAGGATGGAAATGCAAGCTGAGTCGAAAGGGTTGAAACTGTCACTATAAAATCGGCTGTGGTTAGACGGTCGACAAGAATTCGTAGCTCCTGGCAGATCATGCATCTCCAATATGCTAACTGTCATGGACAGTCTAACACAAGCCCATGACGACGGCTTGATTCCTCACGCAAGTTTCATTGATTTTGTCAAAGCTTTTTATCATGTCCCGCAAGCTCCCTTATTACATAAGCTTGAGTCATATGGCCTCAGTGGCAGACTCCTCGCTCTTCTTCGCGATTTTCTCACCAACCGCACCTTCTCGGTTTGCGTAAGTTCATCGCTTTCATCTGACTCCTCCATTTCTACCGGAGTTCCGCAAGTTTCCATCCTTGGCCCCGTCCTCTTCCTTATATATATTAATGACCTGCCACACAGGATCGGAGTCAACGTAGCAATGTACGCTGATGATGTGATAGTTTGGGGCATCGACCCAGTGGCTGTTTAGTCAGCAATGGATGCAGTCAAAGGCTGATCTGAGGCCTGGAATCTTCCAATAAATGACGGCAAATGCTTTAGTATGTCGTTAAGGAGGCTCCCCGTATATAGCTTCAGGGCTCACGCCTCCACGACAATGGAGAGCGTAGAAAACCATAAGGTTCATTGTTTCTGGCTGACCAGGTCACTTTCGTTCTCTTACCACCAAAAAAAGCCAGTGGATCCGCCTCCCGTGTTCTTTACTTCCTAAAACGTTAATTTCCCAGAATGGATAGAGATGACTTTCAGCTTCTATACAGCACGTAAGTCCGGCCCTTATTGGAATACGGGAGTCAAATTGAACACTCCCGTCTGGTGTGCGATTGTACTGCCCTGGAGCATATACAAAGGAGGGCAACAAACTTGTGCACAGCTTGTCCTCCACACCTCACCCTACGCGCCTTTCCATCTTGAACCTGTACCCCCTTGAAACCCGCCGGATAAGAGGTGACCTGATCCTATTGTACGATCTCTTCAATTCCGGCAGGGTTGATGAATTCTTTGTGAGTAATAGTACGGACAATCTTCGTGGGCATAGCATAAAACTCTTCAAACCGCATGCCCGTACACTATTCCGTCAGTGCTCTTTCATCCATAGGGTCATTCCTCTTTGGAATAGCCTCCCCAAGAAATAGTTAATGCCTCCGCAAGATCCGCTTTCAAAAGGAATCCAGACCGGTAACTTGGTCTAATCCCTGAACCCTAAGCACCTCCCTGTCTCATAGTGTTATTTATAGTATTCTTCCTTTAATTTCCGATTTTTCGCACTGCACGCAGATGCTGCAACCCTCTCCCCTCAGTCCAGGTAACCTTCCTATATAAACAGAACCTTGAGACCTTGACCTTGAGACGCGGTACGTCCAAAATTTAGCCTCGCTATCGGTTTTTGTATTACCACAGATTTTATACTTACTCAGCTCCAATTATTTCCCTCCAATCCGTAAAAATATTTTTGTCATACCGTCCAACCATTCGATGGCTGATAAAACCTCTCCCGGATCCTCCGACGAGGACACCCTCCCGATGAGGTTCGATGAGCGTGTGATGGTCATGGATAAATCTCTTTCACAGGCCGAAATGCTAGGTATCATTCAGGAACAGTCCTTAGAACTAGGGAGGCTGAAGGCTGAAGGTAACGCTCCCAGTGACCAGGTTGCCGAACTCAACGCCCTCGTGTTGAACTCCCCAGTTCACTTGGCGGCAGACCAAGTGATCAAAGTCTCCGAGCAGCAAATACTAGATACAGCAAGAATGTTACAGGCAGACGCGACTGCTTCAAAAATGGTTATCTTCTGGGGACATTTCCCGAACTCTCTAACCCCTCAAGAAATGACGAAGTTAATCTTTAAACATTTGAATACGACAGTTCTCAAGCCCGGAAAATGCTCGTGGCTTATTCCAAAAAAAGATAAACTCCCCATCGCCTCGTAGTAGATATGGGTTCCCCTTCTACAGCCCGTAAGCTCATCACATTTGCTCCTTTCCTGAAAGGATCCTGCAGGGGTCTTAGAGGGGTGTCAGTCGATAAACCCCTTCACCTTAGGCTCCCTGCTCCGAAA